GTCCCATCTACATGATAAGAGACGATGCCTTACACTATCTTTACAATTGTGTATCTACAGAGACAGAATGAATGGAGCGCCGCCTTTCTCTTTCAAACCTAGACATTGACTGGCCATGCCAACCTGTGGATATCTGGAGATCCAACAAGATCTACTGCACTTTTAAAAGACTTGCTCAAAAAACTTTTCAGATCTTAAGTAAGCTATTGAACTGATGCCTACTGTTCCTGGCATAAGTTTTGTCAGTTCCCTCTATTATATGTACAACAACTTCACCACGTAACAAGATGTCGCGTGGTTGACATATTTTATATAATAAGATCTTATATTTTTGTACTCTCTTATTCTCATGTATACTTTGTTTTATAATTATATTTCTAACAATGTGTAAACTGAGTCTCAACATGTATACTTCACTGTAAAAAAAAATTTTTTTGTAAAAATAGATATAACGTTCTTCACTTGTTAATACTGATTCAGCATGTATACTACAGTGTATTATTATGTACCTAACAAATATTATCTTTGCCCCAATAGTGTCTATGACAGGATCAGGGCATGTATTTTTATAATACGTTCAATACAAGAATGAATGAATGAATGAATGAATGAATGAATGTATGTATGTATGTATGTATGTATGTATGTATGTATGTATGTATATTCTCTTGACGTACCCTATTAAAACGCAATCAAAAATGCAAAAAACCACATCTAAAATATTATAATAGAAAACTAGTTCTTCATGGTAAGCCTTAATTTTGTCCCTCTTCCCTGTGGGAGAAATTTCAACATCTATATAATATAAAAACACTTGAGTATTCGAATGCAATGTTGTGTCACAATTTCAAAGCAATCGATTAAGAACTTTTGGAGATTTAAGATTTTGAACAAACGAACATTTACATTTATATATATATATATATAAAACACACACTAGGATTATGTATTATTGCAAAAATTTCATATTTGGCAGGAGATTCAATTGATGACATTTTCAATGCATACAACAATATGTTAAGAAATATAGAAATATACGAATATATGCAAGCAAAAACACAATGAAATCATGGCACAATAAATACATTATTTCACTAAATTTTTTGTCATCTTTGTGACCAGCTCTATAACATGGCATTTCAAAATTATTTCTGAATGACACACTATACTAATTGAAAATCTTATCATAAAAAAGAAAAAAAAAAGGACAGTCTAACATAATAGTATGGTGTTTACATTGCTGGCACTTCAAAAGAAAATGAATTCAGATTTCTTTCAACATCAGATCTATATATTTCTGATCCAAAATCATCATTTATTAAATGTAAAACTTCGTTGATTGATAACTTTTTGCATGTAACCATTTTACAAAACATCAATACAAACACAACCTTTTATCCAGTAACAGAATTTCAATGAAAATCCCAAGCGTTTTTTACCTTCACCAAGGCCTGCCTCAGGTTTTTATCAAAACAGATTTTAATTTCATCTTATACAATATGTACGGCTTAAAAATTCGTATGGATCACATGATTGCACTTTTACGGTTTTAGTCAATCAACTGTATAAATTTGCCTTACATGATGAGATATTCTAAATTAGAAAAAAATTGATTTTCAAACATCACTGTTCTGACATTTGACTTTGGAATTTGGTTTTGTTAAAAACCTGAGGCAGGCCTTGGTGAAGGCCAAAAATGTTCAGAATTTTTGTTGAAGTTCTTTTACTGGATAATAAGGTTTTATTTGTATTTAATTAATTACTCCAATAATTTGTGAAGAACATAGTTACAAAACATCAAACAATGCACAGTACTTAGCAATAAAAATGATAATTTTCTTCATTAAAACACTTCCTACATCAACTATAGATGAATCTAAGCTATACAGCTCCATAGAATAACATGAAAAATGAACAAGTGAGACTCATCCTGTTTTTTAGAAGAAGACTGACTTGATGAGCAAGACTTGTCTGTAGACTGGGAAGTGTTAATAAGTAACACCAAAAAAGACCTACATTCAAAATAATAAGCTAACTTATTAAAAAATAAATATACAATTTTGGAACGTCTTAATATATATGTTAAACAAATATTGTTATTGTATTAATGCTTTCTTTAAAGAAAGGTTCAAATAAGATGAATATTTCTGAACTAGAACATTGCACTGCAATTGAATTCTTTAAAATTAATATCAAAAAGATTCTATAAAGAATTGACAAAATGTATATGAAGTTATATCAAGCCAGTTTCAAACAAAATTTTAATCCAAGAAGTCAAACAGGGAGAAAATTTATTTGAATATGATCTAAAATCAATAATCATGCAATCAATTAAAACCACTAGTTCTGCTGTTAAAAAATGTGACATAATAAATATGACATAATATGAGTTGGTAAAAAAAGGCATATCACATGCATTTTCATATAAAAGGTCAATAAATTTATTTAAATATTAATGAATATGTGTCTGTTATTTAAAACCAAACTTTTCATTTCTATTACTTAGGGATTTTCATCAATATAATTAGAAATAATTAAAAAAATAAAACACAGTATATCACATGTCTAAATATTCAGCTCCTAACAAAACAAAATATTAGTAAGACTTAACATGTTTACTGACATTGTGTCAATGGGTAAAATGTTGCCAAATTTCATTCTCAATTAGGCAAGTTATTGTATGCAATAGTCAAGTTATAATATTTATTCTTCAGCCAATTTCATAATAAAAGCTTACTTTTGAAAAAATAAATCTACAAGAGTTATCTCTTAGTTGATATATAAAACAACTCTTTGTTTTTATCTTGTTGATCTATTTAAACAGATGATGATAATGTCTGGCATGAATCAATCTGATCAAAAAGTTTGTTATCATTCAGCAATAAAAAAAAACCCCCATCAAACAGCTGAAAAAATTGCACTACATATTTTAGAAATAATTATATATACAGTACTATGTACCAGTACATTACATCCTTTTCCATTAAATAACTGTTTCAACCATAAAAAGCTGAAATTCTGAGGGGGAAAATCACTGGATATTTGATTGGAGATAATTATCTTTTCAGTATTTGGCAATTTACGATTGAAGATAAATTTCATTATTTAGAGATTAAACTAGCCATTGAAAAAACATGCCTCATCAAGCTGTGTCAACTACAAACACAAGATAAACACTGCAAAACACATTATCATCATCATCAGGATTTTCTGTGAAAGTGTTTCAACAAAATATCACCAAGAAACATTATTTGCAAGAGTTTTAATAACATTGTTTCAATTATTTTGTATTATTTTTCTCCAAATAAATATTCTATTCTCTGGTACCATAGCTTCTTTTTACAATCTTATTTCAAATACAAATTACCTATTATTTACATCTATTTGCTATAAATATGTTTGTCGCTGACACTAAAAATCTACAGGATACTTCTGGTAACAGATTTCCTGTAGATTAAAAATATAATATAAAAATGAATAATAGCAGGGTCCAGTCTATTTACTTATTGAAGAGAACAGATTATTAAACATGTCACAAGGTCACTGTACATCACCAAAAAAAGACTAGTGAACTTTATAAAACTTCCAGAAGCTCACTTGAATACTGCATATTTATTGTCTGGCCAAAATATATGAAATGATCTGTATAGTTAATACATACAATAGTTTTAAGAATAAAAATGTGTATTATTGTAGTTAATTGTAACATGAATGGTTTATCTCAAATTGAAGTTAAATGGTATGAACAATTATTGTGGCAATGTCACAACACCAGGCTGAAATTTTTAATTAATTAAATTTAATTTACCTGAAATTAATAGCGCCTTACCCCTGTATATCATACTTTTCCTGCTAGCAAGAGAGTCATGCTAGTCATTATCTAATTCTTTTCAGGGTAAATTTTTGAATTGAAATAATGTGACTTCTGGTTCAAACTGAAAGTTTATATATAGTTAATTGGAAGTCCTGCCCCTAAGGTTTTCATATCTAGTCTCATTTTTTATCTATCTAACTCTGTTCTCGAGATTAAGGAAAGACAGACAGATGACAGCAGGGAATTTATAGGTCTACAATTTTTTCAAATTGCAACCCAAAAAGGGAACAGAAAAATAATTTTATAACATATGTTAGCATTTTAAACTTTTGTTAAAAAAGTCTTTATAGCTTGTTTTATAGCAGTTACTCCCTTCTTTGATGCAATGTTCTGCAATCACTTTAGCATCATTTTTCATAGGTGATCTGTCTTGGATGTGTCAGGATATCCCTCACCACCTGGCTGACCCACAATGAGCATGGATAAAAGAACCTTATAAATAACATAAAAAGACCTTTTAGTAGCCATAAGACGAAAGATCAAAAAAGTTACTTCAGCATTAGTCACTCACAGCAGAGTTAAAAGTACTAAAGTATTTATATGCATAAATGACAGAACTTTTATAAATTATAAGAGATGTAATATATTCATTTACAGGTTTGTCTCAGATAATGCAAACATTAGATAATCAAGGCTCTCCTATACAATATATCAAGTTAACAGTAAAGTTAAAATAATCTAAATTTTTCATATTTATGAAACCTATGTAAAAATTTAATTAGATACATTTAGTGAAATAAAAAACAATGGGCATGGGTGTGTGTGTGTGTAAATATCATTGTAAATTCACAAAAAATCAAATTGTGTTTAATATTAATTATAAAAATGAAAATGTTCTTCTAAAAGAGAAATTCATTCATGAAGCAAGCACTATTTATCAATACATTAAATTTTATAATTTAAAGAATATTTTTCTAAATACTTTTCCAGATAATTTTTGATATCTAATGAAATAAATATAAGACATTCTCAATAAAATTTTAAAAACTGCTGAATTTTTTTGATTTAATATATATGCTTGTATTATTATTTTTTAAAATAAAAACAAAATTTTTAAATTCCTCCTGGAAATAACATATTTCTATTTCTATAAACAGAGAAATTTCAGATTAAAATATTTACTTACTTGTTAATTGATTAAAATCTTCATTTCCTATTGTTTTGTCACTTTTAGTCAAGTGATCTGATATTACTTGTAGGCAATTCAAGTGTGTTTCACAAGTTGCATAAAGTTCAGCCTGTAATTTGTATATAATTGTAAGTATCAACATATTAATTTATTCCGATATTTCAATTTTTGATTAATTTTTATTAATTTATTCACAATGGTATAGTGTGAATGAATAAATTACCACTAACAGAAATTTAATAATAGCTTAACAATTTTATACTAATTACAATTCAGAGTAAATAATATAAAAGAAAAACCTATTAATTTTGATATAGGTTATCTATTGAAAAAACATAATAAAATATTCATTTGAAAATGTGCAGATTTGATATACTGTATTTCCTTGATTCTAAGAGACCGATTTTTGAAATTGACTGTTCTGGAGGAAAAATTATATATACATATATTATGCTAAAGATTTTTGTTAGCTGAACACTTTCTAGATTTCCAGTAGATTTAAATAAATTAGGCATCACTAGATAAAAGTGGGGCTGCAGATGCGCAATAAGTTAACTTCTGAAAGGATCATCAAATCCAAAAACATATCAAGTTCCAAAATTTAGAAATTTTCCTACCATTTTATATAGTCAATAACAAACTTTTTGCAACATTCAAAGTTTGATGGTTGAATGGCTAAAAGGTCAAGGTAGTAGTATTCAACTGGAGTACTGTGGCACACTAGGATGCTGCAAAACATAGTATTTAACAGCACAATAATTCTAATTGGTAAAGTAGCTGGGACAACAACAACAAAAATAAATACCAAGATGGAGTATCACTATTAGCCGAAAGTTGAAAAACACTAGGTTAACGGTATCATCCTACTGTTCTGAAGGACCAATAAAATAATAAATAAAATTTTGGGGTCTTGCTCGTTTGTTTTTGTTGGTCTGTTTGTCTCATATAGTTTGTCATTGTGTTCATTTGCTTTTCGCTCTATCTATCTAGCTGTTAAGTAGTTTTAAGATTTGCGATCGCATTCAGTTTTATTAGTATTAAGTAGATATAAGTCTTCCTACTAATAGCCACTTAACACTAACTTCTACACTTAGCTATTCGTGGTGGCACTCAATTATTGATGTTTGCTACACTCAGGTTTTCTTTTAGACCTTTGGAGGACTATGGCATTGCAGCCTAAAAATTGCATGCCAACATCAAACATAGAAGGCATGTAGCCTTATGTATGCCATTCAGAGGGATCCTACCTTTCTCTGTCTATCTCCTCTCTCCCCTTCTTCCTCCCCTTTCCCTTACCCTCTTTTCTGCTGGCTAAACACTTTGTGTACAGCCAATGTCTTTCTTTTATGTATGTTCTGGATAACCCTGGAACAAATCTGGGCATCACATAGCAGAAAGGTACTTTATGAAAGAATGTATGACCCTGATAAATTTTTTGCACTGTGTCCACTGATCATTTTGTAGTAACTTTCCTACTTTCCCTCGCCTATCTTTGCTCACGGACAACTTTACTTTGTTAAGAGTCATTCATAGTTCTTTGACAGCTTATGGATATTCATCAAGAGCCAAGTTATCAGGACTTCGGTTTACTATCTTAAATGTGGTACACAAAGAAATTTTGTAATCTATTTTTTATACAGTAGTTGGTATTGGAATAAAATGTTTTGTGCTCCACTAGTCAATTTTATTACATTTTGATAAACATCACTTAGCAGAATAATACAAATTCCATGAAATAGGCAATGTTTAACAACTGTATTTGCATGCTCTTTCGAGTATACAATAACTTTTTTTATAATGTTGCATCATAATGTTGTTATGAAGAAACTAAATGATAAAGATAAAATTTAAAATAAATGTTCATTACCAACAAAACTCATTTGAACTGATGTGACCATTAAGTAATATCAAAAATGTATTATGCACCAAGCATAGATAACACATACTGCTTGCAAAATTGTTGATTGCTCTTTTGAACTGCAAACATCAGATAAATCTCTTTTACACAAGCAAAAACAAATTTAAAAAAAGCATGTCTTAGAATGAAGAAAGTATGGTAAATAATTTATACAGTATTTAACTTTACAAATTCATAAAAAATTATTACTAATTCCTAATTCAAAATAAATAAAAAAACTTTTTTTATATGAAGTAAGAACAAAAATCATCATTATTTTTTAAAACAATTATATTATTCATTTTACTCATGAACTCGTGAAAAATGTTGTTGTTATTTTTAAAACATTTTCAAATACAGTAGACCCCCTATAAAATGGGTTCATATAGTTCGGATTCCTATATCATGGCGAAAAAATTGCGACAGTATTTGTACAAACATGCTAAAAAAAAAAAAAAAGAAAAAAACTCCTATAATTCGGTAAAACATCATTGCCAACTCGTGTCGCAACAGGATTGGTCGAATCTAGACTGATATTGTATGAACTGTCGAGTTTAAACGAGCAGCAGACCTACTAAAAACCATTTAATATTTAACGTCCGTAAAAATTATATTTATATTAATTATGTCTCCAAAGTTCAGCTAATTTTTCGCAAAAAAAAAAAAAAAAAAATTTATCAGGAAGCATGCGAGTGCCATTTGATAACAAGCTCTATGACGAAAACAAGCTTAAGCAATGGCATCGTCGAACGGTGCAACTCGGTAAGTAATCCTACAATTTTTTGTTTATAGCATAGTTTATATGGATTATTCCCAAAAAATTATAAGTATTTTGGAAATGTTGAGTCAAATTAGTCTAGAATTGATTAATTTTATGGAAGAAACCTTTCAAACAGCCTTAGTCAGTAAACTGCATACGTGCTGGGCTGTGACTGGCTCATGCATTTAAGGACTCATAGAAAATAGATTCATAAAACTGGAACGTATTTACCGTATTACGGGAGGTTGACTGTAAAACCATAATTTTTATTTTTTAAAAATGTCAAAATTTGAAAGTGTGTTTAAGCATGTAAAATAATTTTCTAGTTTTTTCCTCCTAAATATTGTTTATCTTTAATAGAAAAAAAATTTGTTAAATCTAACTGTTGGATTCTTATGAAAAATTAATATAAACATCCCTATAAATCCAATGTAATGCAATAACTCACCAACAACTGCCAGGCTATAATTTGGAATTAATAATTATAAATTACAAATGAATTTGGCACTAGAGGGCAGGTTTGTAGGGATGTTTATATGCACATCTACGCCTTGCTGGGTATGTGATGGCTGACTAAATGCCTTGTGTGAACGTTTACTGGACGAGGGCACTGAACGCACCCTCAGTTGGTTACTACAGTGCCGATGATGGTTATAGCTTAACATTTAAATATACTGGAAGAAGAGATCAAACCAGAGGTCTAGGTAGTGTAACTGGCAATGCATCAGCATGGTAAGCAGGAGTTGCGGGTTCGAGTCCCACGTTGGGCCAATTCTTTTCTTCCAGTTTAATCTAAATTATTTAATTAAAAATTATAATTATTAATTTTAATATGAGATGGCACCTAATGTATCCCTCTAGTGCCAAATTCATTTGTAATTTATAATTATTAATTCCAAATTATAGCCAGGGATTTACAGCAGTTGTTGGTGAATTATTAAAAATTAAAAAAAATTTAAATTAGAAATTCAAATTTAAAGAATTCTAGTTTTTATATTTTCAATTTAAAATACAACTTCTAGATTATAAAATTAAAAGTTAATTATACAAAAATTTTGTTTGTACAGCTAAAATTTTAAATAAGTAATTTTATAAAGTTTTCAATGGCAACACATATAGTACTACTTTTCTCCTTACATAATTACTTTGCATTCATCCCAATAGGACATACTAAAAATTCATCTTTCACAATAAGAACAAAAATAGAATTTCTTTATAATTTTTCTTTCTTTATTTTAAATGTTCATCTTAGAAAATTATTCAATCCAAACAGAAACATCTGTAATGTAAAAAAAATTGCACCAAGTAAAAGTTATGATAATTTAAATGACAGAAAATTTTTTTTTCTTGGGAGTTTTTCTTTGGTAAAGATAACTTTTGTTTTAAAGCACCAAACCTAAGGAACAATAATAAAAATCTTGTGGATACCACTTTGAAGTTTTATGTTTTTTTAATTCATATAAATTTGAGCTTTGTTATTCCAGATAACATTTTGAATAAAAATTTGTTTCAATGAAATTTTATCCTTATAAGCATGAAATTAAGCAATAACAGTACAATAACTCCAATTAGACCTGATCTGATAGTTTTGCAAGCACCTCAGTGATAACAAGCTTAATATTTGAACTTTCTAGAACCAAAAGTTTGTTCTCTAGGAATGCCTACAGTGCCAATTGAAGAAGAAAATAGAGCATTTTTGAAAATTTTAGCTCATTTCAACTGTTTACAGTTCTTCTAAATATCACTTATGGTAACTGCGTCTCAAGACGCAGGATACATATACCAGGTTACCAAAATCAACACTTATTACATACTATGAATGTATGTCTCTTTAATCCGAAATTAAGTTCACTAGACTATCATTACATTTTTCAGGTTAGACACTTCTTGTATTGTGAAAACAATAAAAGAAGTGTCTAACCTGAAAGCTTTAATGATAGTCTACTGAACTTAATTTCAGATTAAAGAGACATACATTCATAGTGTTTACAGTTCTGCAACCCCTTTATAGAAAAATTTGAAAATCTGCACATTAAGAAAACAATTATCTTTTGAACAAGATATTCAGAATTATTATGTGTTTGGGGCAGATATATCAACCCCAAAAATCAACAACTGTGATTCCTCCTATATATATATAGAGTCAGTCAGTGACTTTTTACTTGGCATGGAATCACTGCCATGACTCTTGATTTCATTTCCATATTATAACTGTAAGTTAAAAATAATGATTCTAATGAATATATGTTTAGTAATAAATAATACATTTAGGAATTTAGAATATCTAAAAATAAATACTAAATGTGTAATCATCATAGATTATTTTTTTCTCTTAATAAAAAAAAAAATATATAAAATCATGAGTAATAGTAAAATTTATTTATATAAAAATTTACAGGAGTAAAAGTTTTATATTTATGAATTCCCACTGTTATATAAAATAATA